CCGCTTCCGGAGCAGCCGATCGAAATACCTGCCATTGGAAACGAGAGAGAGCGTCAGCTGTGGTATTCACAACACCTGGAATGTGCACAGCGCGGCATGAAACGTTCAATGACAAGCATCGTAAGACCAGACGCCGCAAGAGCCTGACCACCGGAGGGGAGGAGGCCGTTAGATTATTAATGGCCTGCACCACCCCCAAGTTATCGCAATGGAAGACGACGCGCCGGTCCCTGAACTCCATTCCCCACAAATGAACTGCCACCACGATGGGGAAGAGCTCAAGGAGGGCCATATTTTTGGTAAGGCCAGCAGCAACCCAAGCCTCAGGCCAAGGTTCCGCGCACCATTGCGTCCCTAAGATAGCCCCAAAACCCGATGCACCTGCCGCATCAGTAAACAGGTGTAGCACAGAATTCGACACCTCTGGTTGTTGCCAATAGGACCTGCCATTGTACCCATCTAAGAAAACCATCCATACTGCCAAGTCCTCCTTGAGCACTTTGGTTAAGCGGATAAAATGAAATGATTTTACAATTCCTGCCGTGGCGGCCGCTAGGCGCCGGTTAAACACTCGACCCATAGGCATAATCCGACATGCAAAATTCAACTTGCCAAGAAGGGATTGAAGCCGTTGTAAAGTAATCTTCCGGAGGGAGATCGCCTCCCGCACAGCCCCCCGCAGATCCTCCAACTTATCCGGCGGGAGGCGACATTCCCCAATAACCGAATCGATCTCAATTCCAAGAAAACACAAGCACGGGGAAGGGCCCACCGTCTTATCGGGCGCCAGAGGCACGCCGAACCCACAGGCCACGTCGGCTACCGATTGCAAAATGTGCGCGCATACCGTGGGAGTTCGCGGGACCCACACAAAGAAAATCATCCAAATAGTGAAGCACTGAGTCATAGCCAGACTCAGCTCTCACTACCCATTCCATGAAGGAGCTAAAACATTCAAAATAAAAACAGGATATTGCACAACCCATCGGGAGGCACATATCCACGTAAAATTGCCCTTCAAAGGAACAGCCGAGCAGATGATGACACTCCGGGTGAACCGGCAGGAGGCGAAAAGCCGACTCAATGTCGGTTTTTGCCATCAGTGCACCGGGGCCCGCGGCCCTAACCATACCAACCGCAGTATCAAACGAGGCGTAAGAAACTCGGCATAGCTCCGCCGCAATGTCATCATTCACGGAACCCCCTTGGGGGTGCGAGAGATGATGAATTAGCCGAAATTTCCCGTGCTCTCTCTTGGGAACGACGCCTAGTGGCGATATTCGAAGGTCAGGAAGGGGGGGTTCACGAAAAGGGCCAGCCATGCGGCCCAATGCCACTTCCTTAGCCAGCTTGTCTTTTACCACCCCCGGGTGTTCAGCAACGGAACGCAGGTTCCGACACGACCCTGAGGGCGAACGAGCCCGATGGGGAATCCAAAAACCATGAGTAAACCCTTCCAGGAGCAAGGCAGCCGCCTTTTTGTTCCTATAACGTTTTAGCCACGGACGCATCGCGACGACGTCCACCGGCGTCTTCGCCCTTAGCGCCCATGGCATCCCCTTTGTCGCCAAACTTACCCCGCTTAAAACACTTAGAAGCGGGGTGGGACCCGCCGCAACCGGAGCATTCGTGCTTGAAGCGACAATTTGCTCCGAATTTACACTGGCCGTCGTTAAATTGCCAACAGCAACCTGTTCTACGCTGAGTGGCCGACGCGGAGGGTGAGGACCCTGCGCCGGCCCCCCCAAGAAAGGACGACAGGCCCCCCTGATGTGAAGCGGGACGGGTCATGATGGCCAACCACAAGCCGATATCCATTTGATCCCAACTCAGGGAAGGGCGCACCGCTAGGCGCTGGCGGAATTGTTCATCATACCGCCACCAGCCTAACCCGCCATAAACCCGACACGCGTTCCAGATCATATCCTGGTAGCAAAATAGAGAAGAGCATTTGTTGGGAGTCTTTTCCCCTATAACGCTAGCCAGGATAGAAAAGGCCCTGATCCAATTCCCAAAAGTTTTTGGTATCTTCCGATACCGAAACTTCTCTTTCTCCTTTTCTGACTCCTTTGCTGCAGGATCAACCCGAGGCAAGTCCTCCATAGGGAGAAGGGAAAATATTTCGACAAATTCCCCTTTCTCTATCTTGGCCCGCAATTCAGCTGTCAAATGGAGGCCCAGGGGGCCTGACCAACACATGTAAGCCGCCCCGTGCGCAGCGGGTGCAACCCCCAAGTCCTGAACCGCAGTGGGGGTCACTGTTGACCCCACGGGGGTTCCGAGCTCTCCTGCGGCAGGCAAAGATTCTAGGAGGGCAGTAGGCCCCCCTGAGACAGCCGAAGTAGAAGGCGGGACACCTGACCCTCCGCTAGCCCAACCCGTTCTAAGTTGGTTATCTAAAGTCGAGGTGAGGGGGGCCCCAGAGGGGGGGCCCTTTTCCAAAGAATGCAAAACCTGTCGCATAGTTTGCAGCAACGAATCCCATTCTGGCATGACTGCGCTAACACACCCCGGCCCCAAACCCTGTAAACTAATATACTCACTGGCGGGAACCGAAGGTGAAGCCATCTGTGGAGCCACGACTTGGCCGCTAGACTGTGGTGGCCCAGCTGGAACAGCGACTGCAGGAGGATCTGCACCAGCCGCAACGTCAGCAAAACGAACCGAGAGCCTACCAGGAGTAATCTGCGAAGACAACACAGGTGAGATGGACCCCGGCCCACCCACCCCAGTAGAAACGAAACCGGTAGGGGAGGGCCCTGTGGGGGAACAATGGGCCCCTGCTGTAAGAGTGGCAGGATGAATGGGGGGCAACGTGGTCTGAAGTGGGCCAGGGGGGGCAAGCTGGGCACCAGCTATGAGTGGGTCAGCGGGCAAGGCAGGGAAATTGAGAGGGGCAGGCCCAGGAGACCCTGAAAGGGCCCCAGCCATGATGGGGGCAGCTGAGGAGGAAGGGAGAAGTGGAGGGGCAGAGTGTGACCCAGCTGCCACAGGGACAGGTCCAGCAGACAGTGGAGCAGGCGCAGGAGCAGCTCCAGGGGAGACAGAGTGTGGAGGGAGAGCAGGGGGAGGCCTGAGAGGTAAGTTAGGGGAAGCATACTCCCTGCCCAGTGCCCCAGAACCCCCCACCCCCCTGGAGACAGCCCTGCCGACCAGCGGCCTACTTACCCGACCGGGAGAGCGGGCTACCCGCCCTTGCACAGCCGTTGATCCCGCCAAGGCCGACCTGGTGATTAGTGCCCGCTGTGCGGTGAGGTGCTGTGTTCTCGCGGCCGACCTCCGCCGAGCCCGCGAGACCGGGGGGGGTGGTAGCCGCGATGCGGCATGACCGGCGGCAATCCGGCGTGTGGACACACGGGAGGAGGTGCTGGCCGCGGCGGAGGAACCGGCGCGCGGGCCTGCAACAGGGCTCCTACTCCTCTCCCTCACCCGACCCTCCCGTGAGGGGCTATACCGGGCAGGGGGACGTGCGCGACGGCGCTGATTCCCATGGCCGCCATTAGAGGGAGCAGCCACAAAATCAGCACCCTGGTTCCCAGGGCTGCCATTAGAGGGAGCAGCCACACTAGGAGCACCCTGTAGGCGTACTAGCTGTGACTGCAGGTGCCGTCCACCATCTTGAAGGGCCTCAGCCCGGAGGGCAGCGAGGATTGCATCAATATCCATACCCTTGGCCGTTTGACAAGCAGTGGTAAGTACAGGAGGATGCAGAGATGTTACCACGCCGTTAAATCTAAGATGGCTGAGGTAAGGGAGACAAAATGACTGGTATATAAAGGACCACACCCATCCCTTACTCTAATTGACACACCCACTTATGACACCTACACCCACCACACCCACACATGCCTCCTATCCGGCTAGCTTTCAGCCCGCCTCCTCTGGGCCTGTCTCCCGGAACCTTAACAATGTTCTTATTAATCGTGCCAGGCTCTTGTACAGTCTCTTCGTCTCTTTGATTATATAATAAGCAATAAATGTGGGCATTTAGATTATTAACTTTTGGCCAAATTCCGAATTAGTCAGCATCCAAAATTACCGAAAACAAAAGACTGATCTAGAAAAAAAATTCCATTTGTTTTCATAAGGATAACAACGGATAGCAAAACAGGCTGGGGCCGGTGGGACCATGGCTCCAGGCAGCACCTTCACATACTACATGCACTACACACACTACACACACACAACATGTACTACACGGAGTACAAATACAACATGCACTATACACACACCGCATATAATACACCCACTACATACAGACACTGCACCCACTACACAAACACACACTGCATCCACTATACACAATGCATAGAATAAACACAGACACTGCATCTACTACACAAACACACACTGTGCATACACTATACTCACTTTATCTGCATTCAGAGTCTGCATTTCATTTTTCACCTGATTCAATTTGTAAATTTTCAGCCAGTTTCTGTCTTTCTTTTCCTTTCTAGCTAAACATCATGGGGTACGACACACACACACACCCTGCCCAATATGTCCTGTTTGTACAGTTTTCCCTTGTTGTGGCCTGGAGACGTATGTCAGTCTGTATGTGTTTATTGCCAGCTCTTTATAGACTTTAACTCTCAGCACCCAGTTTTATGTCCATGTTTCGGGTGCAAACCGACCACAAATGACTCAGGTCCCTTTGTGAGACTCATTAAACACAAAGTCTTTGGGTACATTTCATGTTTATATCACAGCAAGTGCTACTGAACAAGGTAAGAGACACTGGGTGGGTTATACATGGGTACTCTAGGGGTATATTAGAAGATACAACATGTGCAAGCAGGTACTATAGGTCCAACAACATGTGTTTTCATTGATGACATTTGTACAGAGCTGGACATGTGGATCCTGGAGATGAGGTTTATTGAGAAACAGATCATAGATTATGGATACTATGTTTCTGGGATGGGGTCAAGGAATAAAACTAATATATTGATAGAAAGATCTTATTGATAGAGGTTACATAACGTATAAAAGGCAGGTCACACTCGACGTATCTTCATTTCTGTGGTCTTCAGAGAGTAGTAGTAACCCTTCCAAGGAAACCAGATGACACCACTGGCGTAGGACAAATGGACACCACCTAGATATGGCCCATTCAGGTTGGCCTGGTGGCAAGATTTGAACCAGAAGCCTCCAGTAGACAGGGCAGCACAGTTCTGGGTATAGGTGTCCCGATCACTATCATACGTAGAAAACTTCATGCCATTGTGATAGGACAAAGCATCACCTGAGAAAAGGAAGACATGTTGGATTTAGTGCCTTTTGTCTTGTGTATGACAGTATCTCCTCTAACCATGCAGTGCACATGTCTGATGTTATTACTGTAGATTTTTCTGGTCTTACGTATTAATGTGTCAATATATCTTCAATCATGCACTCTTTCTAAACATGTTAATATTTGTACATACCTTTTCAGCAGGGAGATCAGAAAACAAACCTTGTATAAATATATATGTTTTTGTTGCTAGTTTTGGTACTTTTTCATAATAATAATTATTCCAATGTGTTTTAAAGGGTCACTCCAAGCAGCATGACCACTTCAGCAATTTGATTTTTGTGCTTGGAATCTGTAATGATGGGCATGCAGAGCAGATGTGCAAATAAAGAAAGCTAATGATGAAAAATCAGCCACCTGCCTCCAGAGTGGAGCGCTAAAAAGTGCAAGAATGCACACACTTAGCCCTTATAAGGGATATTAAGTATCGGCACTCCTCACTTACCGACTGGGTTCCGTTCGTAAAACAAATTGGTCGGTAAGTAAGGATGCTCTACGGAGCATGCGCACCAGTGCAGGTCTATGTTCGGGGAAATTGGGACAAGCGCAGCAGAGCAGGTAATCCCTCTAATCCCTGAATGTAGGCCAGCTCTCTAAAGTGGTGAACCCCTTGAATACCCGCACTAGAGAGCTGGTTGTAAGTGTGATCCGTCGTAAAACAGGTAGATCTTCAATACTCTACTGCTGAGGAAAAGACAAAGAGAATTCTCTGATGTATAACCTTTTAACACTATGGTGAGTGTGGCGGAACAGACCTCGCCACATGTTCTTGGAGGGGGCTGCTGAAAACCCTATTTGTGCCCTGTGACAAAACTGGAGATTGTGCACAAATATGACTATTGTCCATATTTTTTATGATTCTCTTTGTTTGTTGCACTGTTCCCCATGTGTTTCATCTGTTGGTCTGGCTGGATAGACTACCAGATAAACTGTGGAGTTAATGGGTGGCCACCATTTCATGTATCAGAGGCACATGGTGAGAACAATGGATGAAGCACATGGTGAGAACAATGGATGGCGGCCATTTTAACTCACAGACACTGTTTGGACTTTTCTACACGGTGCCATCTCGCCGGTATTTGGTGCACAAAGACATTGTGCAGTAGTTTTAAACTATACAACAGGGGACACATTATACAGTAATTATTTTTCATATAGCCTGTATATGTTCTGCGGAATCTGCATTAAACCGTATCTTCCAAACTACTGAACGGATCTGGGTGAATTTTGGATATGTGGTTCACCCAGATCCCCCGGTTCAGAGGAGATTATGGGGTTATTGCATGTTTTGGGGTCCCGGTGATATGTTTTATAATACTGTATTTCTCTGCCTGTGATAATTATATTACCCATTGTGTTCAGGCAGAGGGGAGGATTTTGTGTGGAAATGTCTGTGTGTATTGTACGGATTGATTGGTTGTATTTCAAAACCCTGTGGGCGGTGCTATGTTTGTGGATTGTGAATAAAAGAAGCTGTATGTGCCAGTACAGTCAGTGCTGCTTGACCTCAAAACGAAGTGTTGTCTCTTTATTGGGGGAATTAGATTAAATGCTGATTGCCAGGAGTGTAAGCTGATTGTATGCTTTTCAAGTTCAGCTGCTTACAGCATTCATATGCTTGAGAGCATTAGTATGCTTCTCCGGTTAGGTGGTTGTGGTGTCTGCTGCAGTGCTTGGAGTCCTCAGGAAGGGCTAGGAGCATCCTTCAACGGAGGTACCCAGTCGGGGTGCCAGGTGATCCGTTACAGTGAGCATTGAGAAATACCGGTGGTTGATTTTCATCCCTTTATTTTACATGTTTTCAGAGGTGGGTGAGAGAGAGACCCACTAGAGTTTAGTAGCGGCAGTAATACACATACTGTTTATATACATGAGAAGCACCTTTTTCACACACGGAGCACTTTTTGAATTTGTTTATATGCAGACAATGCATTTTTCTGCTGTAAATATGATTTCATCATTAGGAAGGAGGGTTCCAGCCCATTAGTGTTAAAACTCTGCACGCCTAGCAAGCTGGCAATGGATGACCAATAGTGGCACTCCACCCTCACCCCCATTCCGGACATCCCATCAGATTGGGCCTCATGGTGGGATCACTGTGGGGTGCAAGCAAGCATAATGTAAATATTACATATACATTGTGCAGCACATTTTCACATCATTTGGTTCACAGATTAAGGCCTGGATTTAATGTGCTTTAATCAGCATCAGAAATGATATTTTTTTAAATAAAGAATACGTAAAAATATTATCCCTACCTTTAGTAAAAGACAGGATCACTCATAACATGCACCTTGGGTCAGACAGAGCCCTCAGTTTAATATAGTTGGATAAGATTTACAAATGATTTAATATTTTTTAATAAACTTTAACAATAATTTGATATTATGAAACATATTTTAATATTTTAAAGTTTTGATATCTTTTGATATATATATATATTATATTTTAATATGTTGAAAAAAACGTTCTAAAAGTTTATCCAACAGTATATCAAATAATTTGAAAATTTTATCCAACAATATCCAATCGAGGCCATAACGGCAGTCGCCTGCCATCTTTTTTTGGCGCCACGCACAGAAATCCAAATCCATGGCATGGCTTGCTCAGTTCTAATTTTGTTTGTTTTGTGTCTGGTCCGTGAGGAGATTTGGGGGGTTTAGCGATAAGGATGACTCACTGTTCGCCCCAAATTCTGACAAATTGCAATTAGTTTGAATCCAGAAGTCTAATAGATAGACAGATATACGGACAGACAAGTTTAGATCCATTGCAGGATAGTTAATATTGTGGCATATTGACATTACATCACTACAGTGTTAAATAATAGGACCCCCATTATTTATAACGTTTTAGGAATGTGTTCTTGAAACAAATGTTGCCAAGTTGCATATTTCATATTTGATTTGTGTTTTCATTCAAGTTAGCTCCTTATATTTGAACCATTCGGAATACAACTAAAATTTGTATCCTATTTTTGAACTTTAATCTGTGTATCTCAGTAACGTGAAGCCTCTCGGGTGCAACCAACAGACGGAACCGCCAGGTTAAATAACAGGCTTGTCCATAACGGTAATGATAACGTCTTATGGCAATCCAAACTTTATTATAAGGGTTTATTTCCTGAAATCTCATCAACACAAAGTAACGGGTCATTCATCGGGGGTAGTTATGGTCCAATATTAGGAAAATCTTTCATATAAAGTAATATTTATAGAATGTACATTTATATTCTGGTTTGAGCAGGGCTTTGTTAACCTCACGTTCTTTTTTTTTTTTTTTTGCTGTCATAACCCCTTTGTAAATATCGTAAAGAACTATGGAATATGCTTAATCTATTAGTAATAATAACATTAATAAATATCTCTATTTAATACCCTGCATAAAATACATGTCTGTTAGTCCACCCATTGAACAGCGCTACAGAATCTGATAGTGCTATAGAAATAACAAATAAATAATAATATTAACATGTTTAGGATAGAGTGCCACACACTGGAGGTTCTGTGTTACTGCAGGTTTCTACAGGAGCAATACTGCCACCTCCTGGTAGAAATATGCTTGCAGTGCAGAATCAATTAGCCTTTCTCATAGACAGTGATGCAGACTGTCTGTAAGACAGGCTCAGGAGGCCCCTTGTATAACAATTTGTATTTTTTTCACAATAAAAAACAGTCAATGTTCTGTGGTGCAATATACCTGCTCCTCCATCATGAAATCCCTCTACATACAAAGCATATCCGTCTTCCTCAGGGTTAATGGCTTTAGGAGAGAGAGCAAAGTCGCTGTATTTGGCATAGGCCGTGTTATTCTCGAAATCTCCGAGGTCGACCCTCAGCTCATACTTCCTTTTCAACGTTAACAGATACACATTGTGTAACCCTACAGAGAACACAGGGGATATTAATAATAATAATACAACAATACAAATAATTCATAATAATATAATGCAATTAGCCAAAGTGATAAAAAGAGAGAGGACATTATGTAACAATCATATTTCAAGTTCATTGTACACATTGGGATAATATATTATTAAACGGAAAAAAAGTGTCTGAGATGAAATCATGGCTGACAGCGTACACCTGGTTACTGACTGACAGCATGCACCTGGTTACTGACTGACAGCGTGCACCTGGTTACTGACTGAAAGCATGCACCTGGTTACTGACTGACAGCATGCACCTGGTTACTTACTGACAGCGTACACCTGGTTACTGACTGACAGCGTGCACCTGGTTACTGACTGACAGCGTGCACCTGGTTACTGACTGACAGCGTGCACCTGGTTACTGACTGACAGCATGCACCTGGTTACTGACTGACAGCGTGCACCTGGTTACTGACTGACAGCGGCAATTTGACCGACAGCGGTACCTGGTTACTGACCGGAAAGCTGCAATTGGTTACTGACTGACAGCGCTTGGTTACTGGGACTGACAGCGCAGCACCTTGTTGTTGACTGACAGCGCGTACCTGGTTACTGACTGACAGCGTGCACCTGGTTACTGACTGACAGCGTGCACCTGGTTACTGACTGACAGCGTGCACCTGGTTACTGACTGACAGCGTGCACCTGGTTACTGACTGACAGCGTGCACCTGGTTACTGACTGACAGCGTGCACCTGGTTACTGACTGACAGCGTACACCTGGTTACTGACTGACAGCGTGCACCTGGTTACTGACTGAAAGCGTGCACCTGGTTGACTGACAACACTGTACACCTGGTTACTGACTGACAGCGTACACCTGGTTACTGACTGACAGCGTGCACCTGGTTACTGACTGACAGCGTGCACCTGGTTACTGACTGACAGCGTACACCTGGTTACTGACTGACAGCATGCACCTGGTTACTGACTGACAGCATGCACCTGGTTACTGACTGACAGCATGCACCTGGTTACTGACTGACAGCGTGCACCTGGTTACTGACTGACAGCGTACACCTGGTTACTGACTGACAGCGTGCACCTGGTTACTGACTGACAGCGTGCACCTGGTTACTGACTGACAGCGTGCACCTGGTTACTGACTGACAGCGTGCACCTGGTTACTGACTGACAGCGTGCACCTGGTTACTGACTGACAGCATGCACCTGGTTACTGACTGACAGCATGCACCTGGTTACTGACTGACAGCGTGCACCTGGTTACTGACTGACAGCATGCATCTGGTTACGGACTGACAACATACACCTGGTTACTGACTGACAGCGTGCACCTAGTTACTGACTGACAGCGTGCACCTGGTTACTGACTGACAGCATACACCTGGTTACTGACTGACAGCATGCATCTGGTTACGGACTGACAACATACACCTGGTTACTGACTGAGAGCGTGCACCTGGTTACTGACTGACAGCGTGCACCTAGTTACTGACTGACAGCGTGCACCTAGTTACTGACTGACAGCATACACCTGGTTACTGACTGACAGCGTGCACCTGGTTACTGACTGACAAGCGTGCACCTGGTTACTGACTGAAAGCGTGCACCTGGTTACGGACTGACAGCATGCACCTGGTTACTGACTGACAGCATACACCTGGTTACTGACTGACAGCGTGCACCTGGTTACTGACTGACAGCGTGCACCTGGTTACTGACTGACAGCATGCACCTGGTTACTGAGTGAAAGCATGCACCTGGTTACTGACTGACAGCATGCACCTGGTTACTGACTGACAGCATGCACCTGGTTACTGACTGACAGCGTGCACCTGGTTACTGACTGACAGCGTGCACCTGGTTACTGACTGACAGCGTGCACCTGGTTACTGACTGACAGCGTGCACCTGGTTACTGACTGACAGCGTGCACCTGGTTACTGACTGACAGCGTGCACCTGGTTACTGACTGACAGCGTACACCTGGTTACTGACTGACAGCGTGCACCTGGTTACTGACTGAAAGCGTGCACCTGGTTACGGACTGAAAGCGTGCACCTGGTTACGGTGTACACCTGGTTACTGACTGACAGCGTACACCTGGTTACTGACTGACAGCGTGCACCTGGTTACTGACTGACAGCATGCACCTGGTTACTGACTGACAGCGTGCACCTGGTTACTGACTGACAGCATGCATCTGGTTACGGACTGACAACATACACCTGGTTACTGACTGACAGCGTGCACCTAGTTACTGACTGACAGCGTGCACCTGGTTACTGACTGACAGCATACACCTGGTTACTGACTGACAACATGCACCTGGTTACTGACTGACAACATACACCTGGTTACTGACTGACAGCGTGCACCTGGTTACGGACTGACAGCGTGCACCTGGTTACTGACTGACAGCATGCACCTGGTTACTGACTGACAGCATGCACCTGGTTACTGACTGACAGCATGCACCTGGTTACTGACTGACAGCGTGCACCTGGTTACTGACTGACAGCATGCACCTGGTTACTGACTGACAGCATGCACCTGGTTACTGACTGACAGCGTGCACCTGGTTACTGACTGACAACATGCACCTGGTTACTGACTGACAGCATGCACCTGGTTACTGACTGACAGCGTGCACCTGGTTACTGACTGACAGCGTGCACCTGGTTACTGACTGACAACGTACACCTGGTTACTGACTGACAGCGTACACCTGGTTACTGACTGACAGCATGCACCTGGTTACTGACTGACAACATACACCTGGTTACTGACTGACAGCGTGCACCTGGTTACTGACTGACAGCGTACACCTGGTTACTGACTGACTGATAGCATGCACCTGGTTACTGACTGACAGCGTGCACCTGGTTACTGACTGACAGCATGCACCTGGTTACTGACTGACAGCGTGCACCTGGTTACTGACTGACAACGTACACCTGGTTACTGACTGACAGCGTGCACCTGGTTACTGACTGACAGCGTGCACCTGGTTACTGACTGACAGCATGCACCTGGTTACTGACTGACAGCATGCACCTGGTTACTGACTGACAGCGTACACCTGGTTACTGACTGACAGCATGCAACTGGTTACTGACTGACAGCGTGCACCTGGTTACTGACTGACAACATACACCTGGTTACTGACTGACAGCATGCACCTGGTTACTGACTGACAGCGTGCACCTGGTTACTGACTGACAGCATGCACCTGGTTACTGACTGACAACATGCACCTGGTTACTGACTGACAACATACACCTGGTTACTGACTGACAGCGTGCACCTGGTTACTGACTGACAACATGCACCTGGTTACTGACTGACAGCATGCACCTGGTTACTGACTGACAGCGTGCACCTGGTTACTGACTGACAGCGTGCACCTGGTTACTGACTGACAGCGTACACCTGGTTACTGACTGACAGCGTGCACCTGGGACTTGCACCTGGTTTTGCACTGACTGACAACATACACCTGGTTACTGACTGACAGCGTACACCTGGTTACTGACTGACAGCGTGCACCTGGTTACTGACTGACAGCGTGCACCTGGTTACTGACTGACAGCGTGCACCTGGTTACTGACTGACAGCGTGCACCTGGTTACTGACTGACAGCATGCACCTGGTTACTGACTGACAGCATGCACCTGGTTACTGACTGACAGCGTGCACCTGGTTACTGACTGACATGCACCTGGTTACTGACTGACAGCATGCACCTGGTTACTGACTGACAGCATGCACCTGGTTACTGACTGACAGCATGCACCTGGTTACTGACTGACAGCGTGCACCTGGTTACTGACTGACAGCAGCATGCACCTGGTTACTGACTGACAGCATGCACCTGGTTACTGACTGACAGCGTGCACCTGGTTACTGACTGACACATGCACCTGGTTACTGACTGACAGCATGCACCTGGTTACTGACTGACACCTGGTTACTGACTGACAGCATGCAACTGGTTACTGACTGACAGCGTGCACCTGGTTACTGACTGACAACATACACCTGGTTACTGACTGGACAGACATGTACACCTGGTTACTGACTGACAGCGTGCACCTGGTTACTGACTGACAGCATGCACCTGGTTACTGACTGACAGCATGCACCTGGTTACTGACTGACAGCATACACCTGGTTACTGACTGACAGCGTGCACCTGGTTACTGACTGACAGCACACCTGGTTACTGACTGACAGCGTGCACCTGGTTACTGACTGACAGCGTGCACCTGGACACTGACGTGCACCTGGTTACTGACTGACAGCGTGCACCTGGTTACTGACTGACAGCGTGCACCTGGTTACTGACTGACAGCATGCACCTGGTTACTGATTGACAGCATGCACCTGGTTACTGACTGACAGCGTACACCTGGTTACTGACTGACAGCATGCAACTGGTTACTGACTGACAGCGTGCACCTGGTTACTGACTGACAACATACACCTGGTTACTGACTGACAGCATGCACCTGGTTACTGACTGACAGCGTGCTCCTGGTTACTGACTGCACCTGGTTACTGACTGACAGCATGCACCTGGTTACTGACTGACAACATGCACCTGGTTACTGACTGCACCTGGTTACTGACTGACAGCGTGCACCTGGTTACTGACTGACAGCATGCACCTGGTTACTGACTGACAGCATGCACCTGGTTACTGACTGACAGCGTGCACCTGGTTACTGACTGACAGCGTGCACCTGGTTACTGACTGACAGCATGCACCTGGTTACTGACTGACAGCGTGCACCTGGTTACTGACTGACAGCGTGCACCTGGTTACTGACTGACAACGTACACCTGGTTACTGACTGACAGCGTACACCTGGTTACTGACTGACAGCATGCACCTGGTTACTGACTGACAACATACACCTGGTTACTGACTGACAGCGTGCACCTGGTTACTGACTGACTGACTGACTGATAGCATGCACCTGGTTACTGACTGACAGCGTGCACCTGGTTACTGACTGACAGCATGCACCTGGTTACTGACTGACAGCGTGCACCTGGTTACTGACTGACAACGTACACCTGGTTACTGACTGACAGCGTGCACCTGGTTACTGACTGACAGCGTGCACCTGGTTACTGACTGACAGCATGCACCTGGTTACTGACTGACAGCATGCACCTGGTTACTGACTGACAGCGTACACCTGGTTACTGACTGACAGCATGCAACTGGTTACTGACTGACAGCGTGCACCTGGTTACTGACTGACAACATACACCTGGTTACTGACTGACAGCATGCACCTGGTTACTGACTGACAGCGTGCACCTGGTTACTGACTGACAGCATGCACCTGGTTACTGACTGACAACATGCACCTGGTTACTGACTGACAACATACACCTGGTTACTGACTGACAGCGTGCACCTGGTTTGACCGGCGTACCTGGTTACTGACGCGGCGTGCACCTGAATTTCACCGGACTGAAAGCGTGCACCTGGTTCTGGACTGACAACGCCCGCCTGGTTACTGACTGACAAAGCGTACACCTGGTTACTGACTGACGGCGTGCACCTGGTTACTGACTGGCGGCGGCGCCTGGTTACTGACTGAAAGCGTGCACCTGGTTACGGACTGACAACATACGCCTGGTTACTGACTGACAGGCGTGCACCTGGTTACTGACTGACAGCGTGCACCTGGTTACTACGACGCGTGCACAGTTTGCACTGGCTGGCATACACCTGGTTACTGACTGACAGCATGCAACTGGTTACTGACTGACAGCGTGCACCTGGTTACTGACTGACAACATACACCTGGTTACTGACTGACAGCATGCACCTGGTTACTGACTGACAGCGTGCACCTGGTTACTGACTGACAGCATGCACCTGGTTACTGACTGACAACATGCACCTGGTTACTGACTGACAACATACACCTGGTTACTGACTGACAGCGTGCACCTGGTTACTGACTGACAACATGCACCTGGTTACTGACTGACAGCATGCACCTGGTTACTGACTGACAGCGTGCACCTGGTTACTGACTGACAGCGTGCACCTGGTTACTGACTGACAGCGTACACCTGGTTACTGACTGACAGCGTGCACCTGGTTACTGACTGAAAGCGTGCACCTGGTTACGGACTGAAAGCGTGCACCTGGTTACGGACTGACAACATACACCTGGTTACTGACTGACAGCGTACACCTGGTTACTGACTGACAGCGTGCACCTGGTTACTGACTGACAGCGTGCACCTGGTTACTGACTGACAGCGTGCACCTGGTTACTGACTGACAGCGTGCACCTGGTTACTGACTGACAGCATGCACCTGGTTACTGACTGACAGCATGCACCTGGTTACTGACTGACAGCGTGCACCTGGTTACTGACTGACAGCTTACACCTGGTTACTGACTGACAGGCTGTAACTGCTCAGAACTCGAAACAGTGACAGATCACTTACCAAGCCAGTACTCCCCATCAGCCCGGCCAAAGCCCAGTTTATAATCCGTCCAGCCGCGGAAAAACGCCAGGGAGCCGTTAAACCTCTTCTGGATCACCTAGAGGTAGAATAAAGCAGGAAGATGTAATAGGTGTACTCTGTGCTGTACATGCTGATGGTACAGTAAGTGTTCTCTGTGCTAAACACTGAAGGTGCCATCCGTTTAACCTGTTCGGTTCATGCTGAAGGTACAATGAGTGTACTCTGTGCTCTACATTTCAAAAGCCTGATTAGTGTACTCTGTACTGTACACACTGAAGATACTATTAGTGTACTCTACGCTATACATAAAGCTCGAGGCTCACTCTGTGTACTCTATGCTGTATACAGTAAAAGCTCACTTAGTGTCCTCTGTGCTGTACACACTGATGGCTCACTAAGTCTGTACTTACCAAAGGCCTTGATTTAATAAGCTTTCAATACTATTATAAAAACTCTCCAAATGATTTATCTACAGAAATTCCCATAGAATTTATAGGTGACTTCTGTAGAACGTTCTGTATAAATCATTTAGAACGTTTTATAACAGTATTGAATCATTTGGAAAGCTTATTAAATCATGATTTTAGTGTGCTCTGTGCTGTACACGCTGAAGACTAACTCAATGTCTGTGGAGAACATGGTGAAGGCATCTCTCAGTGTACTCTGTACTGTGTATTCTAAAGGCTCACTCCATGTACTCTGTGCTGTATACACTGAAGGCTCACTCCATGTACTCTGTACTGTGTATTCTAAAGGCTCACTCCATGTACTCTGTGCTGTATACACTGTAGGCTCACTCCATGTACTCTGTGCTGTGTACACTAAAGGCTCACTCCATGTACTCTGTACTGTGTATTCTAAAGGCTCACTCCATGTACTCTTAGGGTGACCGCCTTTCCTAACCGACATTCAGGGACACTTACTTTCACGAGTGCTTTTCATCAAATTTATATTTGCGGTGCAGCACAGCTCGTTCCAGGTCCGGACACTACATTATCCTGGAATGAGGGTGCCCGGGACAGACTCTCAAAATGCGGGCGATCTGGGACATGTGGGCACCCTGTGTACTTTGTACTGTACATAAAGAAGGTTCACTCAGTGTGTTTTGTGCTGTACATGCATTCAGTGTACTCACTGTCCATTTCCCTTCATCAGTAGTCATGTCACAATACACGGGGACAGCACTCTGTGGTCCTGCAGGATATATGACGTGCACCCCACTGGCCTCTGATCCCATGGCGTACCATTCATCACAATCAGCGGGGTACATTTCGCCGTCTGTATCTGGGTAAAAAGAGCCACAGGTTTAGGGTGTCGGGGAGCCTTAGTACATTGAATGCCATCCCTGCTACTAAAACATTCTGTTTGTGGCATTACTCAATATTGCCAACATGGTGACTCATAGATTATTGATCAGTGAAATGTAAAGGCCAATATTGATCTCCAGGCCAGGATGAGTGAGGTGTGTGATAAGTTATAAGTTAGCAGGATGGTATAGCTCAGTAAGGTGATAAAGGTTAGTAGTATGCTATAGGTTAGTGGGGTGATAGAGGTTAGTGGTATGATATAGGCTAATGGGGTGATCAAGGTTAGTGCAATGCTATAAAGGTAGTGATGTGTTATAGGTCAATGGGGTGCTAGAGGTAGTGATGTGTTATAGGTCAATGGGGTGCTAGAGGTAGTGATGTGTTATAGGTCAATGGGGTGCTAGAGGTAGTGATGTGTTATAGGTCAGTGGGGTGCTAGAGGTAGTCATGTGTTATAGGTCAGTGGGTTGCTAGAGGTAGTGATTTGTTATAGGTCAGTGGGGTGCTAGAGGTAGTGTTTTGTTATAGGTCAGTGGGGTGCTAGGTAGTGATGTGTTATAGGTCAGTGGGGTGCTAGAGGTAGTTATGTGTTATAGGTCAGTGGGTTGCTGGAGGTAGTGATGTGTTATAGGTCAGTGGGGAGCTAGAGGTAGTGATTTGTTATAGGTCAGTGGGGAGCTAGAGGTAGTGATGTGTTATAGGTCAGTGGGGTGGTAGTTATGTATTATAGGTCAGTGGGGTGGTAGTTATGTATTATAGGTCAGTGGGGTGCTAGAGGTAGTGATGTATTATAGGTCAGTGGGTTGCTAGAGGTAGTGATGTGTTATAGGTCAGTGGGGTGGTAGTGATGTGTTATAGGTCAGTGGGTTGCTAGAGGTAGTGTTTTGTTTTAGGTCAGTGGGGTGCTAGAGGTAGTGATGTGTTATAGGTCAGTGGGGTGCTAGAGGTAGTGTTTTGTTATAGGTCAGTGGGGTGCTAGAGGTAGTGATGTGTTATAGGTCAGTAGGGTGCTAGAGGTAGTGATGTGTTATAGGTCAATGGGGTGCTAGAGGTAGTGTTTTGTTATAGGTCGGTGGGTGCTAGGTAGTGATTTGTTATAGGTCAGTGGGGTGGTAGTGATGTGTTATAGGTCAGTGGGTTGCTAGAGGTAATGTTTTGTTATAGGTCAGTGGGGTGCTAGAGGTAGTGATGTGTTATAGGTCAGTGGGGTGCTAGAGGTAGTGTTTTGTTATAGGTCAGTGGGGTGCTAGAGGTAGTGATGTGTTATAGGTAAGTAGGGTGCTAGAGGTAGTGATGTGTTATAGGTCAATGGGGTGCTAGAGGTAGTGTTTTGTTATAGGTCAGTGGGTGCTAGGTAGTGATTTGTTATAGGTCAGTGGGGTACTAGGTAGTGATGTGTTATAGGTCAGTGGGGTGCTAGGTAGTGATTTGTTATAGGTCAGTGGTGTGCTGGAGATAGCGATGTGTTATAGGTCAGTGGTGTGCTGGAGATAGTGATGTGTTATAGGTCAGTGGGGTGCTAGAGGTAGTGATGTGTTATAGGTCAGTGGGGTGCTGGAGATAGCGATGTGTTATTGGTCAGTGGGGTGCTGGAGATAGCGATGTGTTATAGGTCAGTGGGGTGCTAGAGGTAGTGATGTGTTATAGGTCAGTGGGGAGCTAGAGGTAGTGATGTGTTATAGGTCAGTGGGGTGCTGGAGATAGCGATGTGTTATAGGTCAGTGGGGTGCTAGAGGTAGCGATGTGTTATAGGTCAGTGGGGAGCTAGAGGTAGTGATGTGTTATAGGTCAGTGGGGAGCTAGAGGTAGTGATGTGTTATAGGTCAGTGGGGTGCTGGAGATAGCGATGTGTTATAGGTCAGTGGGGTGCTAGAGGTAGCGATGTGTTATAGGTCAGTGGGGAGCTAGAGGTAGTGATGTGTTATAGGTCAGTGGGGTGCTAGAGGTAGTGATGTGTTATAGGTCAGTGGGGTGCTAGAGGTAGTGATGTGTTATAGGTCAGTGGGGTGCTAGAGGTAGTGATGTGTTATAGGTCAGTGGGGAGCTAGAGGTAGTGATGTGTTATAGGTCAGTGGGGAGCTAGAGGTAGTGATGTGTTATAGGTCAGTGGGGAGCTAGAGGTAGTGATGTGTTATAGGTCAGTGGGGAGCTAGAGGTAGTGATGTGTTATAGGTCAGTGGGGTGCTGGAGATAGCGATGTGTTATAGGTCAGTGGGGTGCTAGAGGTAGCGATGTGTTATAGGTCAGTGGGGAGCTAGAGGTAGTGATGTGTTATAGGTCAGTGGGGAGCTAGAGGTAGTGATGTGTTATAGGTCAGTGGGGTGCTGGAGATAGCGATGTGTTATAGGTCAGTGGGGTGCTAGAGGTAGCGATGTGTTATAGGTCAGTGGGGAGCTAGAGGTAGTGATGTGTTATAGGTCAGTGGGGAGCTAGAGGTAGTGATGTGTTATAGGTCAGTGGGGTGCTGGAGATAGCGATGTGTTATAGGTCAGTGGGGTGCTAGAGGTAGCGATGTGTTATAGGTCAGTGGGGAGCTAGAGGTAGTGATGTGTTATAGGTCAGTGGGGAGCTAGAGGTAGTGATGTGTTATAGGTCAGTGGGGTGCTGGAGATAGCGATGTGTTATAGGTCAGTGGGGTGCTGGAGATAGCGATGTGTTATAGGTCATTGGGGAGCTAGAGGTAGTGATGGTGTGGTAGTTTGGTAGTCATTGGTGTGGTAGTTTGGTTAGTGATGGTGTGGTAGATATGATAGAAACATTTAAATACAATAAATACAATAAAAAAAGACACAATAGAGTAAGGCTGCAGTCAGCAGGAGCCATTTCAGGTTAATGTTTAATATTTGTAGCATCCATCAGATTTCACCTCTTTTCACTGGATCAATGGTGTTTTGTGTTTTTATTTAAATTTGTATTTGCCATTCAACGTTCTGATTGTGCAGTCATTTGGCTGGATACAGTGCTGATTCCAGAACAGATGTTCAAATCATTGAGTCATGTTAATATCAGATTACTCTGAATGTGATGGAAAAACAGGCATTTCTTTAATATACTTTGTATCCATTGTTTAAAAGTTATAGGGGTCTGTGAATGTGTGTAGCTGTGACAGTGTAATGAGTGACAGTGTATAGCTGTGTTAGTGTAATGTGTGGTAGTGTGTGTAGCTGTGATAGTGTAATGGGTGTCAGTGTGTGTAGCTGTGATAGTGTAATGGGTGTCAGTGTGTGTAGCTGTGATAGTGTAATGGGTGACAGTGTGTGTAGCTGTGACAGTGTAATGGGTGTCAGTGTGTGTAGCTGTGATAGTGTAATGGGAGTCAGTGTGTGTAGCTGTGACAGTGTAATGGGTGACAGTGTGTGTAGCTGTGACAGTGTAACGGGTGACAGTGTGTAGCTGTGATAGTGTAATGGGTGACAGTGTGTACGTGTGTTAGTGTAATGGGTAACAGTGTAGTGTGTTGGTGTGTGTGTGTTCTTTTCTAGAGGGCGGTCTGTTCAATGCGTGGGGTCCCACAGACAGAATTAGGGTCACACTTACCATTCTCTGTGTCTCTTTTAGCTGCGCTACATACATTTATGAGCAGCAGGACATTGAATAGCAGGAAGACTCCCGGAGCCTGCAATGCATGAAATATAAACATATTATATATATATATATATAGCGTGACCATGTATGCATAGCCTTCTTATATAGAGACCATATATGTATAGCCTCCTTATATAAGGACCATATATGTATTACCCCCTTATACATAGAACATATATGTATAGTCCCCTTATATAAGGACCATATATGTATTACCCCTTATACATAGAACATATATGTATAGCTCCCTTATATAGAGACCCTATCTCTGTAGCTCCTTATATAGAGACCATATATATGTAGCACCCATATATATATATATATATATATATATATATATATATATATACAGACCATATATGTACCTTATATAGAGAACATATATGTAGTTTACTTATATAGAGACCATATATAACCCCCATATAGAGCTGAATTGAGATAAATATATAAAAATAAAATACTAATTGTTACTGTTAGAAGACTAAGCAGTGTATTCAACGTATTTCGAATACTTGGCAATCGATGGGTTAATGGAATTAATGAACCATGTAACCTTCTGACACAGTATGAATTATACTTTATATAACTTACATTGACCCCAATAAAGCAGAAACTCTGGGCTTGGTCTATGTGAGGACCACAACTACGCTCCTCTAAAACGTTTCCAGTCTCAACTGACCCCCAGAATGGGACCTCACTTTGCAGAGACGATAGACCCCATCGTTTATCCTGAAACTGCAGACTCGATAAACGAATCTCACATTGTAGGCCAAAAATAAGTGAGCTGCATAAACAGCTGTGATGAAGAATGTTTCCAATTTGTCTTTTTTTTTTAGCCTTTGTCTTCCATTTCCATGTGAATTCCCCCTAGTTCCCGGTTTAGTTAATAAAGCCCTTAGTGTAAGGTGAGCCTGAGCACTGAGCGTCTCAGGGATACAGAGTGTTCCCATGCCTTACCTTCATGTCTGCGTCTGGCGTAGTGTGAGACTGCTTTATAAGGTCTTATATTTATATGGAGCGTCTGGTCCTGATTCCAGCCCCTTCACCGCATTGTTAAGGATGTGATGAGGGGGGACGCGGGGCCACAGGATGTAGGGTTATGTTTTACGTTCTAGGACTCAGCACACATGTGTCCTGGATGCACAACCGGATGGCCAGGTCTGGAACTCAGGAATACATGAGGACAGAGTGAGAGAGAAAAATATACAGAGAGAGACAGAGAAAGAGAGAGCGAGAGTGTGATGAAAAGAGAGAGCAGTGGAGACAGAGAGGCATGTAGAGAGAAAAGACAAAGAGAGGGAGACAGAGATGGAAGAAAAGAGAGAGTGCGAAGGAGAGTGCGAGATTGAGACAGAAAAAGAAAGAGAAAAAACAAATAAATGAAAAAGAAAATAGTGAATGGTAACAGTAAGGAGATAGTGGGAGATAAGGAGAGACAGCAGGGAGAAGGGGCAGAATGTAGGAGATAGATCAGAGATAGAGAAAGACTCGGACATTAACAAATTGAGAGAGGAGGGATGATCGACTGGGGCATGGAGTCTAGGAAGAAATAAGACTTCAAAGACGTGTATAGCTGTAGCATGGAGGGTACAGATAGGAAGAGTACGGAAAATTAAAATGAGAGAGTAGAGATGGTAGTAGATATATAATGAGATGGTGGGATGATTTACAAGGGATCGTGGGATGAAGAGACCACCCTATATGGGAGTGATGGTGGGATGTAGAGACTATACAAGAGTGATGGTTAGAAAAGAGAGACTATATGGGAGTGATGGTGGGATGTAGAGACTATATGGGAGTGATGGTGGGATGGAGAGACTATATGGGAGCGATGGTGGGATGGAAAGGCTATACAGGAGCAATGTTGTGATGGACAGAGTATATGGGAGTGATGGTGGGATGGAGAGACTATATGGGAGCGATGGTGGGATGTACAGACTATACAGAAGTGATGGTAGGATGGAGAGACTATATGGGGCGATGGTGGGATGGAGAGGCTACATGGAGTGATAGTGGGATGGAGAGACTATATGGGAGTTATGGTGGGATGGAAAGGCTATACAGGAGCAATGTTGTGGTGGAGAGACTATATGGGAGTGATGGTGGGATGTAGAGACTATACAGGAGTGATGGTGGGATGGAGAAACTATATGGGAGCGATGGTGGGATGGAAAGGCTATACAGGAGCAATGGTGTGATGGAGAGACTATATGGGAGTGATGGTGGGATGGAGAGACTATATGGGAGTGATGGTGGGATGGACAGACTACATGGGAGTGATGGTAGGATGGACAGACTATACAGGAGTGATGGTGGGATGGAGAGACTATATGGGAGCGATGGTGGGATGGGGAGACTATACAGGAGTGATTGTAGGATGGACAGACTTATGGGAGTGATGGTGGGATGGACAGACTATATGGGAGCGATGGTGGGATGGGGAGACTATACAGGAACGATGGTGTGATGGACAGACTATATGGGAGCGATGGTGGGATGGAAAGGCTATACAGGAGCAATGGTGTGATGGAGAGACTATATGGGAGTGATGGTGGGATGGAGAGACTATAAAGGAGCAATGGTGTGATGGAGAGACTATATGGGAGTGATGGTGGGATGGAGAGACTATACAACACAATGATATACAATGATGGTAGGATGGCAGGACGATACAGGAGTGATAGTAGGATGGACAGGCTATATGGCAGCGATGGTGGAATGGAGAGACTATGCAGGAATGATGGTGTGATAGAGAGACTATATGGGAGCGATGGTGGGATGGAAAGGCTATACAGGAGTGATGGAGTGACTATATGGGAGTGATGGTGGGATGGAGACTATATTGGAGCGATGGTGGGATGGAGAGACTTTACAGGAGTGTGCAGAGAAAGAAAAAAGGAAAGAACAGAAAAAAAGAGAGATGGGGAGACATTATTGAAGAGTGAGAGTTTGAGAAGGAGATTGGAGGTGTGGTGTGTTGCATACAGGGAGTTTATAATAGATTTGGAGACTCGTTCTATACTTGTCGCTCTGCTTTCTATCAGAAATGGGCCCTTTGTAGAATATGGGACCCATAAATCACAAGTGACAAGCATGGCAGGGGCCCAAGTCCATTCCAGACAGGGGCCCTCTGGGAACATGAGGCCTGGCAGAGAAACCTTGAGGAGATAAAGGGTGCAGTAATCTATCCAAATTTAGGTCTAGAGTGGTTAATGTATATTCCATGAACTACACACTATCAACTTTTACTAATTAAAAAAATAAACAATACACAAAAGCAGAAACTAAAGGGCTTAGTTATATGTAATGCAGTTAAGAAAATGTCAAATAAAATATTTTCTGTATTAAGGTGAAATAGTTATAACATGGTGAAATGTATCTATGTGTAAATATATAAAGGGAATCAACACAGTAAAGGAGGAGACTATATTTAAAAGAAGAAAAACTACCACAACAAGAGGACATAGTCTTAAATTAGAGGGACAAAGGTTTAAAAATAATATCAGGAAGTATAACTTTACTGAGAGGGTAGTGGATGCATGGAATAGCCTTCCAGCTGAAGTGGTAGAGGTTAACACAGTAAAGGAGTTTAAGCATGCGTGGGATAGGCATAAGGCTATCCTAACTATAAGATAAGGCCAGGGACTAATGAAAGTATTTAGAAAATTGGGCAGACTAGATGGGCCGAATGGTACTTATCTGCCGTCACATTCTATGTGCAAATATATCTTCTATTATACACAACCTTTAACCCCTTAAGGACCAAACTTCTGGAATAAAAGGGAATCATGACATGTCACACATGGGCAGACTAGATGGGCCGAATGGTTCTTATCTGCCGTCACATTCTATGTGCAAATATATCTTCTATTATACACAACCTTTAACCCCTTAAGGACCAAACTTCTGGAATAAAAGGGAATCATGACATGTCACACATGTCATGTGTCCTTAAGGGGTTAAAGAACAGTAATAACAAATGACACGATTGATGTGATGGGCCACAATGGGATAACATTGTGTATATTGAGTGGAGCTCTGAGTAGAGCTTTACTATGGGAGGGTAGTGTGTGTGCGTGTGTGTTGTAGTGCTGTACAATGTTCCTTAACATGAAACTATAGAGTGTTACTCAAGAATAGCAGGGTGTGTGCTGTAGTATTATTCTGTTTTCCAGAATAGCAGGGTATGTGCTGTAGTATTGTTGTGTTTTATAGAATATCAGGGTATGTGCTGTAGTATTTTTCTGTTTTCCAGAATATCAGGGTATGAGCTGTAGTATTTTTCTGTTTTCCAGAATAGCAGGGTATGTGCTGTAGTATTTTTCTGTTTTCCAGAATAGCAGGGTATGTGCTCTCGTATTGTTGCGTTTTCTAGAATAGCAAGGTTTGTTGTAGTAGTGTTGTGTTTTCTAGAAAAGCAGGGTGTGTTGTAGTATTGTTGCGTTTTCTAGAAAAGCAGGGTGTACGTTGTAATATTGTTGTGTTTTCTAGAATAGCAAGGTTTGTTATAGTATTGTTGTGCTTTCTAGAATAGTAGGGTATGTGTTATAGTATTGCTGTGTTTTCTAGAATAGCAGGGTGTGTTGTAATATTGTTGTGTTTTCTAGAATAGCAGGGTGTGTGTTGTAGTATTGTGTTTTCTAGAATAGCAGGGTGTGTTGTAATATTGTTGTGTTTTCTAGAATAGCAGGGTGTGCGTTGTAATATTGTTGTGTTTTCTAGTATAGCAGGGTATATGTTGTAATATTGTTGTGTTTTCTAGAATAGCAGGGTGTGTTGTAATATTGTTGTGGTTTCTAGAATAGCAGGGTGTGTGTTGTAGTAGTGTGGTGTTTTCTAGAATAGCATGGTTTGTTGTAGTATTGTTGTGTTTTCTAGAATAGCAGGGTGTGTGTTGTAGTAGTGTGGTGTTTTCTAGAATAGCATGGTTTGTTATAGTATTGTTGTGCTTTCTAGAATAGCAGGGTGTGTTGTAATATTGTTGTGTTTTCTAGAATTGCGGGGTGTGTGTTGTAGTATTTTTGTGTTTTCTAGTAGTATTGTTGTGTTTTCTAGAATTGCAGGGTGTGTGTTGTAGTATTGTTGTGTCTCTACAATTGAAGGGTGTGTGTTGTAGTATTGCTATGTTTTCTAGAATTGCGGGGTGTGTGTTGTAGAATTGTTCTGTTTTCTAGAATAGCAGAGTGTGTTGTAGAGTTGCAGAGTGTTACACTGGGATAGCAGAGTGTGTTGTAGAGTTGCAGAGTGTTACACTGTGATAGCAGAGTGTGTGTTGTAGTGTTGCAGAGTGTTACACTGTGATAGCAGAGTGTGTGTTGTAGTGTTGCAGAGTGTTACACTGGGATAGCAGAGTGTGTTGTAGAGTTGCAGAGTGTTACACTGGGATAGCAGAGTGTGTTGTAGTGTTGCAGAGTGTTACACTGGGATAGCAGAGTGTGTTGTAGAGTTGCAGAGTGTTACACTGGGATAGCAGAGTGTGTTGTAGAGTTGCAGAGTGTTACACTGGGATAGCAGAGTGTGTGTTGTAGAGTTGCAGAGTGTTACACTGGGATAGCAGAGTGTGTTGTAGAGTTGCAGAGTGTTACACTGGGATAGCAGAGTGTGTTGTAGTGTTGCAGAGTGTTACACTGGGATAGCAGAGTGTGTTGTAGAGTTGCAGAGTGTTACACTGGGATAGCAGAGTGTGTTGTAGAGTTGCAGAGTGTTACACTGGGATAGCAGAGTGTGTGTTGTAGAGTTGCAGAGTGTTACACTGGGATAGCAGAGTGTGTTGTAGAGTTGCAGAGTGTTACACTGGGATAGCAGAGTGTGTTGTAGAGTTGCAGAGTGTTACACTGGGATAGCAGAGTGTGTTGTAGAGTTGCAGAGTGTTACACTGGGATAGCAGAGTGTGTTGTAGAGTTGCAGAGTGTTACACTGGGATAGCAGAGTGTGTTGTAGAGTTGCAGAGTGTTACACTGGGA